TGGTTGCCGGTGGCCTTCCGGGTGCGCTTCAAGGTGTTGGTTCTCATCTTTAAAGCGCTCCATGGCATCGGACCTGGATATCTCCGAGACCGCCTTCTGCCGCAGGTTGCCTCCCATCGGCCGGTACGCTCCCACAGAGTGGGTCTCCTCAGGGTGCCGTCAGCCAGACAGTGCCGGCTGGCGACCCCCAGGGGGAGGGGCTTCTCGGTGGGAGCTCCCACCCTCTGGAACGAACTACCCCCAGAGATCCGGGTGATTCCGGATCTCCCCTCCTTCCGCCGCGCCCTAAAGACATGGCTTTTCCAACAAGCGGGTCTGGCCTAGGGAATTTTAGCGGGGGTTTTTAGGGGATTTTTAAGGATAATTTTAATGATCGGCCTGTTTAAATATTTCTTTTTAATTCGGCTTTTAATTATTGTATTTGTATTGTAGTTTTTATGAGGCTGTTAGCCGCCCTGAGTCCCATGAGGAGAAGGGCGGGGTATAAATTAAATTAATAAATAAATAAATAAATAAATTAGATTAGGAAAAAAACATGGGAATTTATGCAGAAGCCATTTCAAAATTTTCCTCAATGTTCCTATTATATGTGCTTCAGATAGACCTAATAAGATACTGATGTAAAAATGTGACATTAAATTTTGACATGTTAGTCTTTTTTAACTTGTAATATACTTTAGCACAGGTAATCTTCAATTTAATGGAGCCTGGAATTTCTGTTGTAAGTCATGATGGTCGTAAGTTGAGGTACCCACATGACTGAAACCGATTTTTTTAGAGCTTTATGGCTTTTTTTAGAGCAGTCATTAAGCAAACGCTACAGTCGTTAAGCAATAAGTGTTTTTTATTGAAAGTCAGTCAAAAAGGTCAGAAATTAGCAAAAAACAAATCGTTATGTTACCGTGGAACGGTGCAATCAACCATAAAGCTAATTGGTTGCCAAAATTCAATCATGTGACCATGGGGATGTGTGCAGCCATCAGAACATCAGAATTGGATCTTAAGTAGGTTTTGTGGATGGTCTGTTGTAACTTCAAATGGTCACTAAGCAACTGGTCATTAAGCGAGAACTACCTGTTAAAGAGAAAGACACTACATATCAAGGAATGATTTAAATACTGTGTGATTAAGAGACACATCTCCCAAGACGGTTTGATAGGGATCAATAATTCTTAACATACCACATAACTAAAAGATAATAAAATCCATTGAGATCCTTTGAATATAAAGCCATAAATGACATCCAGATAATGAATTGTATAGCTACCAACACTTCCTTCTCTTCAACTGCATCAGCTTTTTATTCTTTTGTATTCAAAGGAACTTTGGAAAGAATTTATGTCAAAAGGTTCGGAAGTCCGGTTAAATTAAAGCAGAGAATAAATTTGTATATAAACAGGAGATGTTGCAAAAGATTAGTTTATATTTGTATTGTTTCTAGATACCTGGATGATCTCAATGAAGGGATTTACATTCAGCAAACTCTGGAAACAGTGCTGCTGAATGAGGATGGAAAACAACTATTGGTAAATTTAATCTAACCATACAGCATTGTTTATTTATTGCATATATTTTTTTTAATCTCCTGATTTCTGACCTAATGTCTTCATCAAACTGCTTTCACCTAAGAATTAGAGAATTGTAATTAAACACATCACAATAATACTGTGACGGAGAAGACTGTAATAAATGACTTTGATGTAACAGGAAATTACACTTAATATCGTCGTAATTTTAACTATGAATCTCTCTGTGTCTGTCTTGTTGGCTGCAGTGTGAAGCCCTTTATTTGTATGGTGTCATGCTCCTTGTCATTGATCAGAAAATTGAAGGCGAAGTCCGAGAGAGGATGCTTGTTTCCTATTATCGATACAGGTATTACATCTCTGACTTAGGATATGCTCAATTGGCTATTTTGTGGTTGATTATTTCATGCAAACTCAGGCACTATTTTGATTGCATCAATATACTTGTTTTAAGAATAGTTTGCAATGCCTTTAAAGGAAAGTCTCTCTCCAATTCATTGTTTCTCAACTTTGTAAAAATAAAATGTGTGAACTTCAACTCCCAGAATTCCCCAGTTAGTATGGCTGGCAGGTGAATTCTGGAGTAGAAATTAACTCATCTTAAAGTTCCAGAAGTGGAGAAACACTTTTTCATTGATGCCAAGCTACACTGCAACATTGAGCCAGTCTTTCTGGCCTTGGAAGATAAGTAGAATCTGGCCTGGCTATTGTTTCCATGACAGACATTCAGAAAATACCAGGGCTCAAAGCCAAACTGAGAATTTGAAAAAAAAATATCCTGGAAAGAGAGAGAAAAACTGTTTTCATATTGCTACCAAAAAAATTAGTACCTATGAAATCAAAGGAAATGCAAATTTACCCTTTTATTGTAAGTTGTAGAACTTACAATTGTAGAACCTCAACTTACAATTGTAGAACCCCACAATTTTGGTTTTTAAGTTATGACGGTTAGAAAATGGGTCACCGTGTGACCAAATCTGATTTTTATTATCTTTTTTGTGGCGGTCATCAAGCAAATGCTATAGTCATTAATGGACAATGGAAGTAAACGCTAGTTTCTTTCAAAAATATTTTAATATTTACAGCAAATGGCTGTAAATGGAAGCTGGTTGCCAAGCACTTAAAATGCAATCATGTGACTGCAGGGTGGGAATGGATGTCAGAGCGCTAAATCCGGATCATATAAGTAGCTTTTCCAGGGTCCATAATTTTGAGCAGTCACTAAACGATTGGTCGTAAGTCGAGGACTACTTGTACTTTGATAAGATCCTCCATTGGTGACGTTTGCTTGTCATGCTCCATCCAGTGCTGCTCGCTCTGCTGACTCCAATATGGATGATATATGTAAGCTGCTTCGGAGCACGGGGTATTCAAGTCAGCCCGGAGCGAAAAGGCCCGCAAACTATCCGGAGAGTTATTTCAGCAGGGTGCCCATCAACAAAATATTCATCAGCATGGTGATTGGCCGCTTGAGGTCAGATGATAT